TACTTTAGTTTTGATGCAAAAACGCATGATCGCACCGGCTCGCCTGGTGCGTCCCAGCCTTTGTTTAATTTCCCGTTGTCATTTTAGCGTACATCGCCAAATGCTTATCGCATGACAAATGATAATATGCAAAATTCATTGCTGGAAAAGTTACACATCAGCAGCAGCGAATACGCCGAACCCGATTACAGCAGGTATGAAGAAGATTCCTCTTCAGATATTATTTGTTCAACTTTCTTACACTAAACAGCACTCTCTTGAAGCTCTTCCTGCACTCCTGTCCATTTTGACTTATGAATTTTCTTCGCTTTGGCATTAATTCCAATAATGAACTGCAGACGAGCACTGGGTCACTCCGAAAATGATATTCTCATATTTCTGCGACTGCTATCTACACAGAATGAGTTTGAACTAACTGTTGAAGTGACAAAATCTCGAGCATCATGCAAGTTCGTCTGAGACTTGCCCAGAAGTAGCAAGTCCTAATTCAAATTTAGCGTCACATGCCAAAAATGTCCACTTCCGCTCCAAACGGATGCTCACCTTCTGGAAGAATTTCGCTGAATTTCACTCGCTCCATTTGAATTTAGCTAATTGCCACACTTAGATCTTGTCTCGACTGACTGATTTTGTTGCAGAAAAGCAGTAGTATCAAAATAGCATTGTTAGGAATAGGAAATTAGTCGTTAAAAATAATGATCCGAAATTCTTTCTTTTGCTAAAAACTAGCAGTGCGGAATTGCTCTATACTGAAACAGGATCCTAACTGAATGCAAAATGGATCTTTTCGGGCAGTGAAAAATGTTCTAGGAGTGAAATGGAGATCGGCAGTATCGGCACAGCTATATGCGATGGTTCAAAATCGTCAACTATGCACTATGCTTCGAGCGACGTTTACCCACGAAATCCGATGCAGCAGGGGTACACACTGATGGAGTTAGCAATTTAATTCGCTAAAGTGATCAAAATTGAAATTAGCCAAACCTCCTGGCTTGACTCCCACAAGCTTCGAAATGAGTCCATTTTTGGATGGAAAAAGAAAAAAGCTTCTAGTCTAATGGCAAACTGACTCCATAGGATAGAAAACGACTGCACATTCGAAGAGCATTCTGGATGGTCGGTCGAAATTTGACTTCCTGCAAAAACACTCGTACAGAAATGCATGGCTTTAGTAACAGCAATTTGGTGCAGTAAGCATCTATGCCGGGAAGCTTTTCAATGAATTCTTCATTCGCGGACTGCTCAGGGGAAACTTTGAAAGAAATCCTAGCACAAATAAAGAGAAAACGAATATTTCTGAAGCGAAATTGGGCTGCAAATGCACATGTAGCTTATTTGCAGAAGTTCCGCATCATCACAGCTCGATAACAGTTACGACGATATTCATGTCGTTAGCAGTGCAAGAAATCTTGTTGAAATCGACCCGCAGTGCCTTCGGTTCCGAGAGCATCTCGGTTGTGGCAAATTTGGGGAGGTCGATTTAATCTCCTGTTTTTTGAAGCCATTCTATCAGTAATACTGCTACAAAGGCATAATTATAAAAATAAACATTGTCGTTTATGTATTTTTGAATAGGTTAGTTTTATGAAAAATTATAAACTCACGAAGATCTGCTGATCCTCACTTAAATTATTCATACTCTTGCTAATTTCACAGCTGAAGTTTTTCTTTTTCCTCAGCCTTGTATTATGAATTAATCTTCTATATGAATAATTATTCCTCGATGACTTACATGGCAATTTACGAGCAAAATTATTCTTGTGTGTTTGGCATAGCACCACTTCCGCTCAGTGCAGTCATCCATTTGCAACGTTTTTAATGCGTCACTTTACTGACAGCAGAATCATAACAAAATTTGAGTATTAGACAAATTAAGTTTACCAGAGAGGTCGCAAAACCGTGCTGAGTTACGTTATGGAAAGCCTGAGCTGGATGGCAATTGTGCCCGGGAACGCGGATCAAACCTCGCTCTTTTCCCTTCCTAGAGTTTGGTCTGAAATTGTAGCGTTGTTACAGATCTGGCTATGTCAACTGGAGCAACGCCTAGTGATTAGTAAAATATTGCATCGAAAGCACGAGGAGCACATCCGAAAGGAATTCGAGCATATTGTCGGAGAACTGAGCAGTTTGCGACATCAGAATGTTCTGGAAGTGATTGGTGTTTGTTACGGGGGTATACTCACCAGCTGCATTCACGAATTCATCAAAGATGACCTCAGTCACTATCTGAGAGATCTGAACATTCAACTTTCCTACAGGTTTGTTGATACCAAATATGGAAGCATGACTTTAGGAAAATTCGTACTCAGCTAGTAGCAACTGTAGAAATTTCTTGAATTGGAAGCAAAGCTAATAGCACAAATGATGCCAGTTCTTCAGGTCAGAATTGCTTTTATCAGTGTGTACACAAATAGCTGCGGGTATGTCTTATCTGGAATCGAGAAATTTTGTGCATGGTAATCTCTCGGCCAGCAGCTGTCTGGTTGCTGGCGACGGCACAATCAAACTTACTAATTTCAACATCGCGTCTGAACTTGATCTCAACGACGAAAGTGACGCTACGCTTGGACGAATCAGGTGGATGTCCTGGGAGGCGGCTATTGAAGTTAGCAAATTTTTCGACTCATTTCTTGAAAGCTCGGGTAGGGAAAAGCTTCTGTTTATTTATGTTCGAAAATCATGGACATACAGGACTACTGACCTAAACATAGGCTTCAGTTATATATATATTAATGAAACAAAGAATTCTTTCCATCATTAGAGAAGCTGTCCATCAAAGGTTGAAGCATAAGCAAGCTTTTAATGACTTTTCAGGAAGCACTCAAGACTGGAGACTTTCGGAGACGCCAGTGCAACATTCACCTTTAAACCTTAGGCTACTGTATGCTTGTACGGCAGTGTTAACATGCAAAATGATGGGTTTTGTAGAAAAGATATTTTGATAACGAGCATCCAAACTCTTTAACAGATGATTAGCAGGAACTGATCCTGGCCAGAATAAACAGTCATTTGTTAATATTAGTACGATAACGCTGTGTAAAGAAGAGAGGGGAAAGGGATCTGTCATACAAAGTGGTACTTATGCTACTGGGGACTAAAAAAACACAAGACATTACTTTGCATCACAATAAAAAAGTTCGGAAGTTCGCTCATGTGTGCAATACAGGCAACAACAAACAAGCTGTTAAGAAAGGATGCTCTAAACCTTTCCCATCCAAAACGACTGAGCGCCGAGAATGCAACAAACATAAATTGTAAATTACAGAAGAGGATGACAACGAAAGGGGATGTGTGGTCATTCGGTGTCACAATGTGGGAAATACTGAACGGGTGTGGCCAACAGCCGTACAGAATGCTCACTGATAGCGATGTATATAAAAATTTATTGTTCATACAACGACACGGAACGCTTAAGGTAACAAATATACGCAGTCGCAGTTTGAGGAATCAAAAGCATCACTGCATTTCATTTACAGTGCTTCACGTTCTCTGTCTTGCTTTGCCTGTCACTGCCGCTAGGATGCTTACAATTTTTCTGTTAGTATTCTTAAAAAAGCGAGCTGAAGGCGATTTGTTGCCTAATAATTCTAACATAGGCAAGATTCGGTTTCGAACTGATGTTATTTTCGCCCTAAACAGGACTGCAGTGGCGGACGTACACCACGTCAGTGACGTTTTTACTGACGAAGAACTAGTGAATCCCTGTTTCCTTGAGAGTAAGAGACACGAAAGCGTCAGAATACGTCAAATTAGATGTGAAAATAATTGGGCAGAGCTGGTTTTCAAGCAAAATCTGGCAAAAGAGGTAATAAAATCAGCACAACCACATCGGATCGTATGCAACAAAGGAAAAGAAATTGTTCGAAATTGTTGAGATGTTAAGTGACTCTGTCGCTTTTTGCCCATGTGTAGAAACTTGAGAACTGGAAGCTGGATCCTACAAATATGAATGCAAGCGAGAGCTTTTACATTACACTGCCAAATTTTCCACTGTGAAACTTATTTTTAAAAAAATTCATTTGCAGTTTTGCCTGGAAAGGCCCGAATTTTCGTCAGCAAATTTCTACGAGGAATTCATTGTGCAGTGCTGGGCTCGCGATCCCGAACAGCGTCCCTCATTTCACTCGCTGCATCGCCGCCTACAAAATGTTACTTGTGTACAAATGAGCGAAGGCTGTTAGCCCGAATCCGGAAGATCTCTCTCCTGACCGTTCTCATTCGCCACTGCAATTTCATACATATCATTGTTATTGTGTCTTTTATTACAGCTATAACTCTAAGGATTAAAACCTTTGTTTCCAGAATCTTTTTTCACAGCAAAGCCAATATGATTGTTTAACATGGTGAAAATTCCAAATTATTGCCCTGGAAATAAAACAGCTCTTGGTGTAGTTGTGAAGCGAATGGATTTCTTCGGATCGATTTAGTTGCACAACTGTTACAGATGGATTTAGCTCCACAACTCCCTGTTGTAAGAATTTCCGTAAGTGTCTGGAACGGTCGGTCATCCTCTTCGGCACGGTTAAAACCGTCCATTACGCGTCCTAAAGAGCAGCGAGTAGGACTAAAACGTCTC